ATTTTTTAAAAAATATTTTTAAACGATAAGTCATAATCGTGATTTTAAAAAACCAGCTTTTTTCTTCACGTTTTATAATAAGCGTAGATTTTTTGAAATTATTGTTTATTAAACTAATAATAGGATATATAAGGATAAGTTAAAATTGTGGAGCTTTAAAAAAATAATAGGAATCAACAACAATCGTGAATTTTTTAAGAAATTTTTTTTTTTCAAACAATTAGTCATAACCGTAGTTTTAAAAAATAATAAAGAACTTGTTATAATCGTGCATTAATTCTTAAAAAATAATTTTCCAAGATTTATTCAAAATTTGTGTTTTTTAATATTTTATTCACGATATTTACAAAAAAAAAAAAAAAATTAACAGATAGACCATCCGCAAAGTGTGGGGATTTTACAAAAGTGTTTAAAAAATAATTCTACTTGACTTGCAAAAGTCATAGATTTTTTTATCACACTAATTATAAGCAAGGATTTTTTTAAAAAAATATATTTAAACGATAAGTAATAATAGTGGCTTAAAAAACCAGCTTTTTTTCTCCACGTTTTGTAATAATCGTAGATTTTTTTTATTAATAGGATATATAAGGATAAGTCAAAACTGTGAAGCTTTAAAAAAAATATAAGAATCAACAACAATCGTGAATTTTTTAAGAATTATTTTTTCAAGCAATTCGTCATAACCGTGGATTTAAAAAAAATTAAAGAACCGTAACCGTTGATTTTGTAAAAAATATTTTAAAGGACTTCAAAAAGACTTTGTATGGACATTTTTTTAGTTTTTCCAAGGAAGAGCCAGAATATGGCTAAGATATTTTTTCTAAGGACAATTTTAGGCATAATCGAATCTCCTTTAAACAGCAAAATACTATGGAGTGTTTTTATATTAGAAATAAATGATTCAAAGGTATTGAGATTTTATGACTTTTCGTTCCTGTGTGTCTCGCCACTCCACAAGAAGCACGGAACACAAATGTCAACATTTTGTATTTTTTCTTTAGTTCCCCAAAATGTGACCAAAAAAATTGTCAGGTAGAGCCTCAAAAATATGGGTCAAGTTAGAACGATTAATTTGATTTTCCCAAAGGCCAGAAAAATTAAGTTATTTAATCAAATATTGCTAATATTGTCCATTTTCGCATCTGATGACAGACAAAACCATTCCGATTCCGTCTAAAACCATTATTTCGATGAGGAATGTTTTGGCCGCATCTAATGCCTCTGTAGGCATATGAATACTGGGTGAGATCAAAAACTGCAACTAACTTCAGACTGCAGTCATTTATAAGCCACTAGTCCGACAGCTGTTAAAATTATTCGAGTGACAGCTCATTGCATTGTTTACAAGCGTACAAAAGAATTTTGGTGAGAATTTTTCTGAAAAAAAGTTATTCGTGACGGAATTCAAGCGTGATAGTGTGTTTTCTTTATATTTGGCTGGAAAACCACAAGTGGCTATCGTTAGAGCACTCCAGCATTTCAATGCGAATAAATCTTCTGTGTCTCGCACCATCGCTCGTTACCGTGTAGAGTAGCCCGACGTCAAGGAAGTGGTCGGAAGAAAAAAGCAACATCAGCAGGAATGGTTCGAAAAGTAAAGAACTCCAAAAAGTGCAAGGACTTACACCGCAACAGAAAGAAAATAGAATCAAAGAGCTAAAGAGTTGCTTGGCCGAAATTGGTGAACTGGCGAATATGGTTTTCTCCGATGAGAAAACATTCGTTGTCCAGCGGTTTGTAAACAAACAAAATGATCGTGTTTACTTGCCAAAGAGGTCAGCGGAAAATGTGCACCTTCGGTTGGCCATAAGAACTCATGCGACGGCCATGGTGATGATGTGGGCCACCACAGCAGCCGATGGTCCCTCTCCGCTTGTATTAATCGACCCTGGCGTCAGAATAAATGCTGAATATTATCGCGATAATATTCTGGATTGTGTCTTAATGCCTTGGGCACGCAAACATTTTGGCCGCAGACCTTGGACACTCCAACAGGACTCAGCATCATCGCACTCAGCATGCGCCACCCAAGAATGTTTACAAAATGAGAATAATCGCTTCATTTCCAGTGCACAATGGTCACCAAAATCTCCGGATACCAATCCGTTGGACTATTATGTCTGGAGTATTTTGGAAAGCAAGCGCTTCGCCGGGAATGGGCCAAAGTGCCGCAGAGCAATATTCGCGCAGCGTGTGACGGCTTCAGTGGTCGTTTGAAGGCCATAATTCGTGGCAAATGTGACCAATTCCAAAAAAAATCTAAAATGATTCTAAAATTTGATGCTATTTTCGACATTTTTTGCTTTCATTCAAAAAAAAAATTAAAAAAAAAAACGTAACAATTATGGCGTTTGACTTTGTTGCAGTTTTTTTATCTCATCCTGTAGCTATAGCTCCCATATATATGTTATCCGATTTTTGATTTTAAGTCTCTCACATGCGTAAAATGCACTCCACAAGAATTATATTTGGTATCAGATAACTTATGGAGCTCAAAAATAACTCTACGCAATTTTATCAAAATCGGATCGGATTAGTATATAGCTCTAATACAAATCTTTATCCGATATTGGGTTTATTGTGCACCAAATGGCTAATATCAGCCCAAATGAACTGGATTTGGGCAATTACATTACATTATTTGGTGAAAATCGGTTCAGATATATGTATAGCTCCCATATATTTCATGCGATTTGGGCTTCTGAGTCCCTTACATGCATACTATGCACTCCACAACAATGATATTTGATTCCGGGCATCAGATACTGCTGGAAAATATGTATGTCAAAATTTATCGAGATCGGTTTAGATTTGCATATAGCTCCGATATAAATCTTCTTTCGATTTTACGGCTGTTACTCGCCAGATATGTAATATCAGCCCAAATTAAATAGCTTTTTTCATATATATCCGAATTTTACCATTTGGTAAAACTAGGTCTGGTATATCTATTGCTCCAATAAATATTTTCTAATATGATCTCCTTATCGATGTCATGTTTCATAGTTGTTGTGATCTACTTCACATAAATTTCCAACATATTTTTTTTTTGTTACGTGAGCTCTACTAAATGCTCATATTGGTGTGGGGTATAATATAATCGGCCCCGCCCGAATTTTGACCTTTCCATACTGGATTTTTTTTATTCTACAAGATCACATCCCCATCTGCCCCCACTCTTCTACAGTACAGAGCAACATTGAAATATTTTTTTTTCACACATTTTCACTCTTAGAACGAACTCTCTATTTTGAGCAATTCTGCTCCCACTCTAATTTTTCAAATAGGATTGACTCGGAAGTTTTTCCACACAAAACAAAAGAGTGAAGAGTAGACTCAATAATAAAACTCCCACTCTTCGAGCAATCCTGGTTGCGAGCAAGTTTCGCTCCCGATTGAAAATAAGCAAATCGGAGCTCTGGAGTGGCTAACGCTCGCCAAATCGATTCATATTTTGTTATTGACCCTATGAAACATGAAGTCGAGGGGTTTTACATGATTATCGCCTTGACGGCTTCAATCATGATTGCACAGGGTCGCGATACGATACGTCGGCCAGCGCCCCTTTGGAATTACCCAGAGTTCTCTTAGAGAGTGGTAGCCCTCCACAGGGTTCTAGATCTATATGGGCTTCAATTCCCTCTTGGTAAGGAGTTGAGAACTATCTTACACCTCTGCTGCTCTATGGGTCGCAGCACCCGGTTGAGAATGCAACACCACATCGAGCCGAAGCTCTACCCGCGATTTGGGTATAAACCACAACCACCGCGTTGCACCCAAAACAGGGGCCTCTCCATAGTCAGGCTAGATCAACAGATCTAGGGGCTCCTGACACCCGCGGCATCAGAATTGTCTCCGGTCAGACTTCGTAGTCGAAACTATTACCAGGTTTTGCTCCATACAACACGGGACTGGTCACCCAAAATGAGAGAAAAATTTAAGGCACGATGCAACACAAGTGCTACACTGATGGAGCAGTCTAATTACCACATTTACATGGACGTAGCTTTCTCACTGCGAGGAGCAAGGCCTATTCACCTCTTCCGCTTTGACACTGGCGAACGGCAACCGATTTGATTAGAAGTTACCCCCGACAAGATCTGAAGGATCTATGATGGTGACGCAGTGAGTTGAGATTCCCTGTGAGTTCCAACCACCTGCGGTACCAGAAAAAGACCTCTGACCCAATGAAACAGTACGAGTATTTTTTTATTTTTTCTTGTCACATTTTTCAGCCAAATATGTTTTAAAAATCTCTCTCTCTCTCTCTCTCTCAACAAATAAACAAAATTGCAAAGCCGGCCGATTTTATGTATTTTTTATAAATTCTAGCCCAACATCTCAGTGGGTAGATCACTTCTCGGATTCGTGATTTTAAAAGACAATTTCCCAAAAAAAAAAAAAAAAAAAAACAATATGTATCCTAAGTCTGGATTTTTTAACTTTTAAAAAAAATGTATATAAATTTTTCCTTAGCAGAACTTTCTATCCAAGAAGCCAATTTATCACAAATTAAATTGAAAACCCTTAAATTCTACAACTTCTAAGGTCTAAAATGTTAAAAAATTTATAAAAAAAAAACGATTCTGTCTGCATTTCAATATTTTCAGTATGGAAGCATAATTAAATAGAGGTTTAAACAACATTAACGCCAAACTTCAGTTTTCTTACAATCGACTCTCAATCTGTAGAAACTTCCATAAGCCTGTCCGATTTCAGGTCATATTTTTCACAATTCAGCCGACTTTATTGCAAGCTTTAGATGTCAAGGTCAAAATTGTTATTGTCGTTTTACAATTTTAACATTACAATTCATGTGTGATAGCGATTTATGCAAGCATAATTGGTTCAGAGCGGACTGGTGGATATTAAACATCAAAATGGCTCAACACACAATTGTTTTGGCATTTTTTTTATGGCTCATATAATTTCATAATTAAACATAAATCATATTCCTTATAAACAACAAAATTATTTCAAAATCCGACATTACTCACCTTTAAAATAAAGCCAATGGAGCATAGGATGAACATCATTACATCGGCAATGGCTTCCACCCAACTTTTCAAATTTTCATAGAAAGTCAAAGGAGTAGCCTTGCCGGCATTGGCTGATTGGGCGCCATGGGCCAAATGGCCATTTTCTGAAGCTCTGTTGTTGTTATTTTCTTCAACCATGACGAGAGATTTGGGAGCAATTTTTGTGATTTAGTTAAAAAATTAAACAATATTTAAACACTTTGTTTTAATTTTAAAAAAATTTTGCACGTTTTATTTTTTGTTGGGATTTTTTTTAAAATTTTTTTCCACTTTTATTATTTTTGTTTTGTTTTTTTTATTTAATTTTTCATAAGATTACAGCACGTTGTTTTTTTCTTCTTTGGAAATTTCGAAAATAAATTGTGTTAAGTTGTTGTTTCTGTTGGTTGCATTAGAATCGGAAAATGCAAATTAGACGTTGGGAAAACGATGTTATTTTTTTTTCTTGAAAAGGGAGATGGATTTATTTTTTGTTGGATTGCTTTTAGCCGCGTTTACACGTCCGCTCTCTTGAGCGCAGAAAACTTTTGTGATTGTTAAGTTGAAATGCAAAGCCTTCTCGACTTTAAGAAAACAGAAGGCAAAAGCAAAAAAACATAAAACGCAAAAGCAAAAACAAAAACAAAAGCAGCCTCACAAAAAAAATCACAACAAACTCCAAAACCAAACACTGGCTGACTGACTAGCTGACTGACTATCCGACTGCCTGAGTGGCTAAGCGGTCTAAACCTGGCTTTAATATTGACTTTGCACCTGTATGCGTGTTTGTCTACTTTGTTTTGTTTTTTTTTTTTTTTTTTCTTTTTTTTGGTTTGCTGCCGCTTAATATTGAATGTGATTTTGCTACCTGATCTTGTGTGTGTGTGGCTTAGTTGAAGCTCCAAGCCTTACATTCAGTGACGTCATTGTTAAAGCTTGTCTTTTGCAAAGCTTAAATAATTGTCTATGCTTTCAAATTGTGCGGTATATTTTTTTGTGCTTCAATAGAAAATAAAAGTAAATAAATAGAGAAAACCCCCAACAAAAAAAAAAAAAAAACAAAAAACACTTTTCACAGCCACAATGGCCAAAAACGAAGAAAACAAGAAAATGCTTTTTAGCCCACACTAGACCTTCAATTTCTTTGCCGACTGACCACTGGCGAAGCAAGTGACCGTTGGTTAGCTTTGCATTTTCCTTTTTGTTTTCTTTTCGGTTTTGTTTTGATTCGATGTCTGATATTGGCCTATTTTGATATTTTGTAATTTCTTTGTAATTGTGTTTTCGCCGTCAATTACATAGCTTGATCTATTTTGGCAAAGTAGGTTTTCTAAGAGCTCACAAAACCGGTTAATGTTTATGAATTACAAATTTTTGGATTTTTGTTAGGGGCATGTAGTGCGGCTAAGAAAAGAAATATTTATTAATTGTTGATATTTTTAGAGTATTTTGCTTGAAAATCTCATTTTTGTCAGTTTGGCCCCCAAAAGGTTTCGAAAGGCATTTCAGGCAATGTAGGAGATAGGAACTCTACCAAAAAGTGGGCCGATGTGAAAAAATTTTTAATCCAATGGTTCTTGAAATAATCTAAAACTTTCCATTAATTTTCAAAGCTCTATATTAAATGTTCCAAAATATATCTCAAAATATTTTAGCCCCTTTACATATGGCGAAAATTGTAAAAATGATTAAAAAGTTTGACCTAAGAACCTGAAATTATTTTGGAGGTATGATCGACAACCATCACTGGCCATTTGATAGTGAAATTTTATTTATTGTATGATTCTCAAGAAAGTAAATTTGAAAGAGACTAAAAATAGAAATGTGTTAAAATTACAGACTTAAAGACTTAAAACCCATCTATTGTCCTTCTAACATACGAATTTCGAATGTAATAATCTTGAAAAATGTCAAAGCTACATACATAGTTTACTTGGAAATTTATGGTGAAATTTTGTGTCGAATATTTCTTTCTTTGACACTTTCTACCTAAATTTAAATTCTATGTTACTTCATGCATCAACTCGAAAAAAGTCAAGTAAAAATTGCAAAAAAAACAACAAGTAAGCAAAAGTTATAGTCATGCGGGCAGACCTACAACACTACAATATATGGGAAAACCTCCTTAGGTCCAAACCCATTTTTTCGTTTTTTTTTTTTTTTAATAATGCCATACAGCCTTTGGTTTTTGGCCGGGGCATTTGCCATATATTTAACCCTCTCTATCGTAATGATTGGTATTCAAATCCATTTCCAAAATGCTAGACATTTTCCTTTTCCTTACTCTCTCTCCCTCTCTCCCTCTCTCCCTCTCTCCCTCTCTCTCTCTCTCTCTCTCTCTCTCTTCATGTAAAATTCTGTGTTGATTGGTTTTTAATTGTGACTCGTAGAGCGACTGCAAAATCAGGAAAATTTAAATGTTTTGGTCTATTTGAACCCTATAACTACCTCCAAACAATATTTAGGGAAAATCGGACGATATTTGCGACTTTAATTTACTACCATGTTTTACATAAAAGTTATGGTCTATTTTACACGCTAAATACTGTCCGCTGATCAAACAAAATATTAGATTTCTGTCCAGCCGTAAACTCTAGCCCCATGCTAACTACCGCGTCGATTTGTCTATAATTACGACCTATAGAGCAACTTTAAAACCAGAAAACTTTTCAGTTGTTGGTCCATTTCAACCCGTAAATATTATGCGATCCTCTCCAAATGCAAAAGACTTCTATTCTGACCATGACCCCAACTACAGTTTCAATTTCCTGAGAATCGGGTCAAAATTGCGGCCTATAGATAATTAACATGGACCGACGGACATACATAGCTAGATCGATTCAGTTCGGCGAGATAGGAAGATCCATATATAGTTTCCTATGTCGGGGACCAATATTTCGAAGTGTTACATAATTGTTGACCCCCATCACGTAGTGTTGTAGGGTATAACAAGTAAAAAAGCTGTAAGTTCGGCCGGGCCGAACTTTTAATACCCTCCACCATTTGGTACAAATTTGACAATTTCCAAAAAAAAAAAAAAATAAAATCGGTTAAAAATTCTGTTAAAATCTTAAAAATACCGAATGCCTATACGACGACGTGGACCTGCATAGGCAACTTTTGTCATAAGTTATTACAATATTTTAATGCGAAACTTGAAGAAAAATCTGTTTAAATGTAGCTAAAATCATCAAAACACCGAATATAGGGGGTACCGTTATATGGGGGCTATACGAAGACGTGGACCTGCACAGACAATTTTCTGGCATGGGCTGAAGTATCCATTATAAATCCCGGTAAATAATGTCGCTAAAATCATCAAAATACCGAATATCGGGGGGTACGGTATATGGGGGTTATACGAAGACGTGGACCTACATGGCCCATTCTCTGTTTTATGCAGCAGCATCTATTACGAACTTCAAATGCCAACTTTGAAACGATTCCGGTAAATAATGTCGCTAAAATCATCAAAATACCGTTATATGGGGGCTACATAAGGAGAAAAAGCAATAGGTGTGAATTGAGCGAGGACATTAGATATAAAAATGAGGATTCCCAAAGGACATTGTGTTTTGTTTTCTGGGATTTTTAGCAGACACTATAAGTTCAAAAAAATTAATTTTTTTTTCAATTAAATTCAATCAATATATAATTGTCTTTGTAAGTTTTTCAACTAAAAGAAAAGGACTAATTTTATACAGTTCGTTAAATCCAAAAAGTCCTGCATATAAAAATGTTAAAACCATTTGATTCTTTTTTTTTTGTCATATGAGTATGGAACTGATTTCAGGAGTAGGTAACAAACTAAACTAAAACAATTTATGCAGACAGGAACAAATTGAGCAAAAATAAGGAGGTCGATCCACCTTGTACCATTTAAACCCCATAAAGGGCCCATTTGAAATTCTCTTTCATTTTCATGTACAGATTAATACCAATTTTCGTTTATTAACTTTTGGAACGATTTTTCAAAAATATTTTTGGGTGCTATAGTACATAATATACATAAAACTAATGTCACATTCAGTTAGTACTTTTTAGCAGCGTTTAGTAGGAATTGAAAAAAAAATCGACTCATATGTTTTTACCCTCCAAACTTCATACTCCATACCTACTTTAAGTTCCGGGTGTACAAATGTTGAACTTCGTAGCCATATATAGCGAATTTAATCTTTTGTATTTCACACCCACGCACCAGGTGTCACTTTTTTTTTGACGCAAATCCAGTTTTGATTACCTCCCATTTTATAGAACCCTTCGATTATCCAAAGTTTATACTCATTCTTATGGTAAGAACTATATAAGGTTTACACCTATTTTTTTTAATGTATTGCACTCAAAACGATCGGAACCCCACTTTGGCCTTCTAAATTTGTTTTTTTTTTAATGTGTGACCTTCTTCTGTTGTTTTTCAATCAATAATCATTATTAATCCCCTTGAACTATTCTGGTTTTTCATTTGGCCGCTATATTACTATTATTGAAAAAAAAGATCTAAACTGGTCAGAATTTCGCCTCAACTGAATACAAAAAAAAAAAAAAATAATAATAGTTTTTTATTAAAACAAACAATCATTAACCCTGAACTATTAAAACAAGGAAACTGTATGTGTGTTTCTCTTTTATTGTATCTTTTCAATACCCATTGAAAAACACAAAATATACGATTATATTAGATCTTCTTAATGAGAAAAAATACAACAACAACAACAAATCCACTTAAACAGGTCAGGTTTGGAGTCAACATTTTTTTATGTTCTTTCAGATGAACAACAAACGAAAAAAAAACCGCAATAATTGTTGATGGCCCGGCATATTTTGGAATTTTTTTGTTGGTTATAATGACATTTTCAAACGTATCTGAAAATATTGAAACACCTAAACAGGTTTACTGCGATTGACGTATGACATATTGTGACAATTTCATTCTTTCCTCAATGCACAAATCAAAAATTTGTTTTGATATTTTTATTTGAATTCAATGGCTTTCTAATAAAAAAAATATAGCACAACAATTTTGGGGCAGTCGATGAACCGGGAAAATGGGTTTTTATACTCCAAGTAGTATAACATTTTTGTGGCATTGTTATGCCTTATATATGTCGTATGTAGAGACGTCCTATAGTATGTCTATAAAGACGTCTATATAGACTCCCTATAGATCGTATGTAGAGAGGCCCTACAGGTCGTCTATAGAGACGTTTCATAGATCGTATATAGAGACGGCCCATAAGTCGTAGAGTCGCAGTCTGTAGAGAGGCCCTATAGGTCGTCTGTAGGGAGGTCCTATAGGTAGTAAAGACGCCGTCTAGAGAGACGCCCTATAGGTCGTCTGTAGAGACGACTTTGTCAATGGAGACGCTCCTGAGGCTGTATACGCCCTTCAGCCCGTCTATAGAGACACCCTTCAGGAGGCCGTCTATAGAGACGCCCTTCAGGCTGCCTTTAGAGAAGCCCTTCAGGCGGTCTATGGAGCAGCCTCTGAGTCTGTCTATAGAGACGCCCTCTGAAGCTGTCTATAGAGATGCCCTTCAGGAGGC